GTAATTTTTGAAACAAAGATTAGGATTTCTCCCTAGGGGTATATTGTCAACCATAATATTTTCAGTGGAAGCATCAAAATGTTCCGTGATTATATCATCTGCCTTTCTAAAAGAATAATAATAATAATAATTTAGGAATACTTCTATATGGAAATTGAGGTGTTACATATAATAATTGGGAAATGATGTTAATATGATTTGTAGTGAGATGTTGAAATAGTGAATTATAGGATTGAAGGAAAATAGCCAAAATGAAACCATTCATAATAAGTTTACAATCAAGGAGAGTAATTTCTACTTAGTTTTTTTATTTTACTTTATTATTGTTTTTGGAAACAGCCGAAATTTTTAAACATACCAGATAGCAAGTAGCTAAAAGGGGGCAAGAGTGCAGAACAGTACAGTTACAACGAAAAAGAATCTAACGAGAGAGGGATAGGGAAGCAGACCATTCTTCCCACTTACAATACTCACCACTTTCCCTACATTTCCCCCACATTATTACAAGTGATTTAATATTCTCCACTATTCAGGAAGGCTCAATGAAAATCTCCTTAATTAAATATTCGATCATTTCTCGCTTTCCATAGACACCAGACGAGACCATAACAAATAGGTATGAGTCTCTTTTTATTTGACATTTCTTCCTCGAGTAGCAACAATTGGATCAGCTCTCCAACGGTTTGGAACTGAGGACTGTTTAAGTTGCACCCTTGGAAAATTGAGTTCCTTACCATGTCGCGTAGTGGCCCCACACTTCAACGATCTTTCTTTTAGACAAGTACTCCATTGGTTTGTTTCTGAGATTATGTATCCCACCTATGACCCAAGGCGCCACCACCATTTTACCAATAAGGTTATATTAAGTGATCTAATAGAGCCGACCCCCAGGTCCTCGTGCTCCTTAGGGGATATTACCTTCTCCCAAGCCTCCCAATTAATCTTATTTTTTCCTTCAGCACCACCCCACAGAAATCTATGTCGTATCTTTTCGAGGGAATCAAGCACCCCATGGGGGCTCTAACACGTGACAAGAAGTAGGTTGGCAAGTTCCCCAGAACAGATTTGATAAGGGTAAGTCACCCTCCAAATGATAAAGTCTTGGATTTCCATCCCGAGAGTTTAGAATGGAATTTATCAAGTACAATGCTCCAATTTTTAATGTGATTCATGTTTGCTCCCACCGGGATCCCAAGGTAGGTAAACGACATGACACCCGCCTTACATCCCAAAATACTAGCCCACCGTGATGTTTCCAAAGTCCATGCTCCTACGACAAATACTTTTGATTTGTGAAAATTGACCTTAAGACCTGAGGACACATGGAAGCATTTGAGGATACGTACAAGGTTTTTGAGGTTAACTTTTGACGTACTCAACCAAAAAACAATGTGTCATCCATGTAAAATAAGTGAGATATTAATGGACCATTACCGGGGATTTGAATACCCTTTTTAACAGCCGAGTTTAGAGCCACGTTCAATCCCTCCATAGAAATGATGAATAAAAAAGGTGAGAGTGGATTGCCTTGACTAACTCCTTTCGAAATAAAAAATTCTTCGGTTGGAGACCCATTAAATAGTACAGAAGCTCGAGTTGATGAGAGGCATCCCCGGATCCACGTTCTCCATTTATTTCCAAACCCCATTTGAGACATTATCGAATCCAGATACTCCCAATTAATAGAGTCAAACGCCTTATCGAAGTCTACTTTGAATAATAGAAATTTCTTTTTAGTACTCTTCTCCCAAGCACATAGTTCATTAACAATGAGCGGGCCATCAAGGATATTTTGTCCCTCCATGTAGGCGGACTTTACCTCCCCCACTACTTTCCCAATTACCTCCCCCGCTACTTTCCCAATTACCATCTTGATTCTCATCGCGAGGATCTTAGAGATGATTTTATACATTCACCCGATTAAGCTGATTGGCTTGTAGTCACTTAAGAGGGTTGGTTCTTTCACTTTGGGAGCCAATTTAATAAACTAGGAATTGCACGACCGAGCAATCAAATCTTTATCCTCGAAGTATCTAATAAAGTTCATCACGTCATGGGAAAATAACGACCAGTATCGCTTGATTAGTTTGAATGTGAGTCTGTCGGGTCTGGGGCATTACCGCCACCACACTCCCATACAACCTTCTTTACTTCCTCATAAGAGAAGGGTGCTTCGAGTCTAATAACATCCATCCTATCAATGGATTGAAAGTTTGGATTGATCGTTTAGGCCTCGATTTCCACTTCTTTCTGAATTTGTCTTGAAAGAATTTGAAGGCTTCGTTTATAATGGTATTTGGATCAGATTTCCAGCTGCCATTTATCATTAGGCCTGAGATTTTATTTTTCTGATTGTTGCTGTTAACGTACCCGTGATTTATTATTATTATTATTATTATTACCATTACCATTACCATTATTATTATTATTATTACTATTATTATTACTATTAGTCTATTACTATTACTATTACTATTACCATTACCATTACCATTACCATTACTATTACCATTACTATTACTATTACCATTACCATTACTATTACCATTACTATTACTATTACCATTACTATTACCATTACTATTACCATTACCATTACCATTACTATTACCATTACTATTACTATTACCATTACCATTACCATTACCATTACTATTAGCATTAGCATTAATATTACCATTACTATTACCATTACCATTACCATTATTACTATTACTATTATTACTATTACTATTACTATTAATATTACTATTACTATTACTATTACTATTAGTACTACTACTACTACTATTACTATTACTATTACTATTAATATTACTATTACTATTACTATTACTACTACTACTATTACTACTACTACTGCAACCACTACTACTACTATTACTATTACTATTACTATTACTATTACTATTACTATTACTATTATTATTATTATTATTATTATTATTACTATTATTATTACTATTACTATTACTATTACTATTACTATTATTATTATTATTATTATTATTATTATTATTATTATTATTATTATTATTATTATTATTATTTCCATCTATCACCCATTTAATTCTGGATTTCAATTCTGTTTTAAATCTAAGGCTTCTCTTTTTTCGAACTCCATGATTTTTATAATGTTATTGCTATGGATATTCAATTCTTCTTCTGAGAGTGCCCTATATTCCACCTCTTTTTCGAGATTTGTAGTTTCACCTTTTAATCGGAGCAGCTCCTGTTTCTCTTTCCTGTATTCCAATCGTCTCTAATTTCTGATTTCCCCTTGAGATGTTTAAACTTGGTAGCAAGGTATGTATCAGCATTACCATATCCCTAAAATCTGTCCCATGCATTGAAGACCACATCATCAATTCCATCAAGAAGCACCCATGAATTTAAGAACTTGAAGGGTGGTGGTACGGAGTCACCTAGGTCCGAGAATAGAGTGATAGGGCTATGATCTGAGAGTTCACGACGATGGGAAATTGCAGCTAGTGAAGGGAAGTTACCTAGAAAATTCGAGCAAGCAAGGAATCTATCAATCTTGCTGAGTTTAGCATCCACCCTGCTCATGAATGTGTATCTTTCTCCACCCATTTTGAAATCTTGAACCCCGACATTGTGAATAAAGTTTTTGAATGCCGGCGCAGAGCACCGATCTGGTATCCCATATAGAGAGCTGACTGCCCAATCTTTCATTCGAGTCTACACCATTAATGTCATAATCAGAGGAGTCCCAACAACTATTTACATCAAATCTTGAAAACTTGGTAATGTGTCTCCTGTATTCCTACAAATTCGACCTGTGAAGAATTTTTAATCGCTTGACCCACCTTACTTTGGCATCGACACCAATTCCTCAGATATTTAGGGATAGACAGTTCATTGGGCAACATTCTTGGCTCCAATCTCACCTTCAATTTGGGCAAGAATGTCATTTCCCGCCTCAATTTGAAATCCAATCTCCTTCCCAATCTCACAAGTTTGTAAGGACTCCTCAATGGAATAACTGCTTGCGTGTATTTCATTAGTATCTGCCCTCTTCACTTCCTTTGGGTTTGAGTTAAGGTAAAGAGTTGGAACTTTGTCATCTACATCAACATTAGTCCCAATAATCGGAGGATCAACTACCATTTGCGTCACTGGATACTGGTCAGGAGATTGTGTATGTTCATCCGCCTCATACAACCTCTTTATTTTTTTGATTAATCGACCTCCACTACTGGACTCTGAATTTGATTTGTGGTTATTTCAGCTCGTGTGGGTTCTGTTGTGTGGCGGGGCAGAAAAAGGATTAGGAAACAGCCCAAAACTGACCTTGGCCCACTTCCGTTGGTTGTGACTCCACTGGCGCTGTAACTTCCTTCACGAGACTGCTCTCGTCTGCTGGGGATCCTTCTTTTTCTCCTCTTCCAGTGTCTGTTGCCTTGGGAAGTTCAATCAACTCCACGTTTACAGGAACTGTCGCTTCCATATTATTCCTATTTAATACTTCATTAACTCCATTGTTGGGACACGTTATCGTCGGACCCCCGTCGATAATAGGATACATCGTCTCTGGCACCACATCAATGAGTTTTCTACCACACCATAGTGATTCTGAAAAGTATTTACCAATTACTCGTTGTTTATCCTTCCCACTGTGTTGAACGCTAACGTCATTTCACTCTCACAGCTGTGTGCTTGTAGGTATGTTCAGTTTCATTAAAATAATCATGTTTTTGCTCATGACAAACAAGTAAAGCGCATCTCCGGTGGAATGGCGACGGACGGAAGATGGCAAGAGGTTGGCTGTAGAAGACGAAGGAAGACAGCGATGACTGGGGATCAAAAAAGATGGAACCATGCAGGGGTAACGACGTTGTTTGTATAATCTTCCACAGGAGACCAGAATAGAATCATTAAAAGATTTTTTTGGCAAATACGGGGACGTGGTGGATGTGTATGTGGCTACGAAGAAAGACGTAAACAAAAAGTCGTTTGCTTTCATGCGATTTAAAAAGATGGAAGACGAACGGAGATTTGAGGAGACCCTGCAAGGCATCACCTTTAAAGATAGACCGCTGGAGATCAACATAGCAAGGTTCGCAAGGAAACTGATTGATTCAAAGGAGGCTAAGTTTATGATGAATCAGAATCAACACAGACGTCCACAGGAATGTCGATGGAATGGTAAAGACAACAGATCTTTCGCTGAGGTGGTACGAGGTAGAAACAAACTAGGGAGACCTACGGCCTACCAAACTCAAGAACATATATCTCCAATCAAAATCATGGATGACTCACCGCTCAGGGGATGGTTGAGTAGTAAGCTAACTTTGATCGGGGAAACACATAGTTTCGACCACTTGGAAAAGGCGCCACTTGCATTCAAGAACTGTGATGGGTCAGAATGTGAACTAAAATATCTGGGAGGGCTAAGAATGGGTATCAAGTTCAAAGATGAAAAAAGAAAAGATTCGTTTCTGCTAGTGTGGTCGGAATGGTTTAGGTCGATGGAGAGTGGCGATATTGCGACTTATAACTTCGAAAGGATAGCATGGTTAAAACTTATCGGTCTCCCACGAAATTTATGGTCTGAAGAGAATTTCTCGAAAATAGCAGAACTGATGGGCAGGGTGATTATTCCATTTGAAGTTGATATATCTAGTGAGAATTTAGTCTATGGGAAAGTGGGCGTTATCATAAATTTGTTATCATCCATCTCCAGTGAGCTGAGTGAGCTGACAGTTGAGATTAACGGTAAGACAATCAAAATCCGAATTGATGAAGTTGATCTTGATTGGACTCCATTTAAGCAGTATGAACAATCAATGGAGGATACATTCTCGTTAGACGAAGGTGAGGACGAAGTGGAGGACATGGATGGAACGGACGATGAAGATCACGTATCGGATACCTTTCCAATGCAGTATGAAAGGAAAGAACCAGAAGAGGGCGGGATTAGAGATGAGGATGGAACGGAATTAAACTCTTACATAAACGTGGCCGGTAAGCATAGCAACTCGGTGAAGGCTCCGTCATCGGCGGACATGGTAGCGGTGGAGACTGATGGTGGAAGCGAAACCGACTCGCATAGAGAATCCCAAAGGACGCAAATTAATGCGAACATTAATGAAGGGTCCGTTAATGAAACGCCTAATGAAGAAGCGGTAAATGCAGCGCTGTCACAAAACTTGAAGTCTAACTATTTGGGCCATATGGATTCGTCAAATGGGCCCCTAAACATGTTACCTATATCTGGCTGCTTTGGTCCCTTTCCTAATAATATGGTTCGAAGTGAATCATTTTCGGGTCGGATTAACAACAACTTTAAAGGATCATGCGATAAAAGAAGACGGATATTGACTCCGATTCCTGAGTCGTTCATGGAAAATCAGATGGCGTCTTCAAATCAACCCTCCATCGACTTAAATCAAGTTCTGCTCCCATCCTAAATCCCGCTCCCGGAATCGGACGACGAGTCATACTCGACAACATCAACGGAAATCAGGAACACGGTGGAGGTTGGTAATATGTTGGGCTTTGATATGGAATGTGACAATGAAGTCCTCAAAGATGTACTAGGCGAAGAAGGAGAAAATCAGCTAATACAATGAACATCATGTCACTAAATATCAGAGGCCTTGGAGAGAAACATAAAACCGATTGGGTGGGTAGACTGAGAAGAGAATATAAATTATGTTTGGTTAGGATTCAGGAAACGAAATTGGGTGAATCTTCCCTGCTTTTCAATCCAACTAATTGTTGGGGTGACGCAGACTGCAATTTCGAGCAAGTATTCACTACGGGGAGACCGGGAGGGATAATAACGATATGGGATAGTAGAATGTTCTCATTAGTGGAAGTGATTAAATCAAGGAATTTTATTGTGACATTGGGGAACTTTGTGGGAATTAATGGGCTCACTGGGTTCGTCAACGTGTATGGCCCTCAACAGGAACGTGAGAAAGCTAAAGTATGGGACGAATTGTTGGCAATAAAATTATCAAGATCGGCAACCTGGATCTTCATGGGGGATTGCAATGTGGTAAGGCGCCCAGACGAACGGATAAATTCTGAATTCTGTGTTCGGAGTGCAAATGAGTTCAACAAGTTCATCCTCAATGGTGAATTGACGGACTTGAAGATGGGAGGTCAAAAATTTACATACTTCAAAACTCTAGGAGGGAAATTGAGTAAGTTAGATCGCTTTCTGGTATGTTCCAATTTTCTTTCTGTGTACCCTCTTGCTTCCTCCTTTGCAATGAAAAGAGACCTACCAGACCATTCCCGTATTGTATTGAGGGCTAGAAGTGAGGATTTTGGACCGCCCCCGTTCAAGTTCTTAAACTCCTGGCTTGTTAATGACAAACTGGATGGAGTCATTAAGGATGCGTGTTCTGTGTTCAGAGGTTATGGTACCCCCAACATGATTCTCTTGAACAAATTGAAGTACCTCAAACTGGCTATTAGAAACTAGAAAACAAATACAATTAATATGGAGAAAAAGGAAGTCGAAGAATGGAAAAATAGAATGGCTGAAATAGAAATGTTGGCGAAATCTAGGCGTTTGACGATTACTGAGGTGAAAGAAAGATCAATCTTGGGAGTCAAGATTGACGATTAAACAAGAAGGTTGGTCATGAACTTAAAGCAAAGGGCAAAATTAAAATGGGAGATCGATGAGATGAGAACACTCGCTTCTTTCATAACTACGTGAATAATAGGAATCGTAAAAATCATATACATGGGATTATGATCAATGGTGCTTGGAGTACTAGCCCGACGGAAATCAAAAAGGAGGTAGAAAAGTTCTTTGGGAACAAATTCAAAGAAAGATGGCCAATTAGACCAAAATTCTGCAATTTGGGTTTCAAAAATCTTTCTGAAATCGATGCTAGATACTTGGAAGCTGAAATTACAACAGAGGAAATAAAAATAGCGGTTTGGGCATGTGGAGATGATAAATCGTCGGGACCGGATGGATTCACGTTTAAATTCATAAAAAAGTTCTGGGAGTTGTTGAAAGAGGAGATTGTGGGGATGGTAAAGTACTTTTAAGTTCACGGAAAGCTATCGTGTGGATGTAACTCCTCCTTTATATCTCTAGCGGCGAATTCTAAGGATCCAATGCATTTCGGAGATTTCAGACCAATAAGCTTGATTGGATCCATCTATAAAATTATTGCGCTATTGCTTGCAATTAGATTAAAAAATGTAATCGGTAACATCATTGGGGAGGTACAATCAGCTTACGTGGAAGGAAGAAATATACTTGAAGGGCCGATGATGTTAATGAGCTTTGCTCTTGGGCAAAGGCAAAAGGCAAAAAGATACTACTCTTCAAAGCTGTCTTCAATAAAGCGCATTTGATTCGATAAATTGGGCATTCCTGGATTCTCTCATGGAACAAATGGGATTTGGATTGAAATGGAGAATATGGATGAATGGTTGTCTGGGATCCGGGAGGGCGTCAGTAATAATTAACGGTAGCCCAACTAAAGAATTCACAATGACAAAGGGAGTCAGACAGGGTGACCCACTCTCCCCTTTCCTGTTTATAATCGCGATGGAGGGCCTCAATCAAGCAATGAGAACAACAGTGGAGAAAGGAATATATGAAGGAATAAAATTTCCACAATCTAACATTTGCTTGTCTCATTTATTCTACGCAGATGACGTGCTATTCATTGGAGAATGGTCAAGGAGGAACATTGCAAATTTAGCAAGAATATTACGGTGTTTCAATGTGTCATCTGGACTAAAAGTGAACTTCATGAAGTCAAAAGTCTTTGGGGTGGAGGCATCTATTTCAGAAGTTTCAAGCTGGGCGGCTCCTCTTGGGTGTGAACCTTCATCCATCCTTTTTCTCTTATCTAGGGGTTCCGGTGGGCGAAAATATGAATAAGAAGCAAGCATGGAGACCGGTTATTGATAAGTTCCATAATAAGCTCATGACTTGGAAAGCGAAATCATTAAGCTTCGGAGGTAGAGTAACCCTCGCAAAGGCGGTCCTTGGCAACCTGCCTACCTACTTTATGTCGATCTTTGCAGTCCCGAAAGGTGTTATCGACACGTTGGAAAAAATCAGAAGGAACTTTATTTGGAACAAGGAGTATGAGAAAAAAAAAGTATTAGCTGGGTGGCTTGGAATAAGCTTGTTTCTCCAAAGGCGATTGGGGGGATCGGACTAGGTTCGATTAAATCTGAGGATGTGGCGTTTGAAATCTGAGGACTCATCACTGTGGGCGAAAACCATTCGAAGTTTACATAATTTAGAAGGAAGGCACTGGTCTATGTTTGCAAATAGATCAAGTACGGGGGTATGGAAAAACATAACCAAATCCAGGTCATTTCTGCAAACGGTCAACATTGATCCCAAAGAAGTAATATCTTGGAATGAGAGTGAGGGTGAGTGGAAATCAGATTTCGTTTCTGATGGACAATTTATGGTGTATTGGTTACGTGAAAGGATTGAATTAGCTGGCCATGTTGTATGTGATGGACCATTCGATTGGGGAAAATGAACTCTGTTCAAGATTCTCTCCTTCATGTGGAGAGCAAAGCAAGGGAGATTTCCATCAGCGGTGGCACTCAGTAGGCGTGGGATCAATATCCCATCAACTAGATGCAGTGGTTGTAACTTGGAAGAGGAGACGTCTGATCACATTTTTATTATGTGCCCAACAGCGATTTCCATCATAGATCCGATTCTATCTTGGTGTGAAATCAGTGGTGAAAGATTTACTTCGGTACAAGACTTGATACTATTTGTCTCAAGGTGGTTCGGATGTAATAGAAAAAAGAGGCTGCTGAATATGATACTTAACAGAGCTTTGTGGTGCTTATGGTTAGCCAAGAATAAACGGGTGTTTGAACAGATTCACACATCACCGACGATCATAATAGAAAGGATAAAAGCCATGACATTTACTTGGTGCAAACATAGAACTCCATGCAAAATGGTGGATTGGAGAGTTTGGAATTTATGCCCTTTTCTTAGTCTGTAATTCTTGTTTTCGATTGTCTTGCACTTCTTTTCCCACATCAGCTTGATGTGGTTTCTTTTTTAATTTATTTGCCGATTTCCAAAAAAAAATTACTCATTGTTTAAAAAGTATTTACGAAAGTATAGTAAAATTCACTTGCACTCCTATCTATACTAATAAATAAAACCCATTTTCTGCCACATGTAATGTTCTCATTGATTTAGACACATGACATTTTAATAGATTTTTAAAATTTACTTATTTCCACATATAATTTTCTGATTTGTTCACATATCACAACTTATTTCGGTTACAATATTGAGAGAAATAAATGTTTCCTTGAAAAAGAATTGATATATTTATATTGTAATAAATGCATAATTAATGAGAGCTCTAAAATTGATATTGATATTAAATATTGATTTTAAATTTAAAATTTAAATATTGATATTAAATTTTTATTTTTAATAAACCCGTGTACTACACGGGTCTCATACCTAGTTTGATATTAATTACATAAGTAATAATAAACAACGTCCCTTGTAGGTTTGACTTTCTCCTTCACCCCGTTGTTAACCCTTCCATTATGATCGACTTTGCAAGTTTGCTGATTGCTGTGAGGATGTACGTCGGTGAAGAGCTGATGGTGGTAACAAGGCATATTGAAAGGAAAAGGGCAATATAGAGTTATCCAGATCTCTCCATTGCAATAGAGCTCACACACGGTCGTCCTCCATCTCCGATCAAACCTGAAATGATTGTGACGATTGAGTAGTACAACACTCAGGCCCGGCCCAATACATGGGCGAGTTGTCGACACTTACCAGGAAAGGAATACCTAACTACATGTTGTATATATGAATACTACCACTATTGTTTTTCCTGGTGTTGTAGCATATTGGAGGGAATTCTACTAACCAAAGTTCACACCACCTGCTTCCATGATTGAGAAAACATACCGGATTGGTGCGGAAGTCATTAAGATTACATGGCTACTACACAACGATTAGGTAGCATTAATTTGAGTTAATTTCTTCACATTGATTAAGGCAAGGATGGGAAGTGTTGTACATACATGATGTAATCATTTTAAGCTTTGTTTCCTCTGTTATGTAATTTCCGGCAAGAAAACCGGCGAGATGACTAGTTAAAAAAATTGTAACCTGATCACTTTTATCTATTTACTTATTTATTGTTAAAAAGTAACGCTCAAAACTCTTTTACCATTATTTGGTAAATACTTTTCAAACTACCCCATATTGATAAATACTTTTTTCTAATAACCATTATTCGGTTAAAAACTCCCACATCAATATCATTGTTCCTGTCAGAGGTTGAGTCTGGTAGTATCTCCTCTTCTTCCATGTCATTGTTTTCCTCCTCCATACAGGTCTTTGACGCCCCTTCTTCATCGTCATCCTCATCATACAAATTATACTCCTCGTCTTGTGAGTCCTCTTCCACTT